ATAAGTATATATGTTACCAGCAATGTGTGAAAAGCTGGCAATGTATAGAATGTCTAGGAAATATATAGAATGCGCTATGCTTTTAGGCAAAATATGAAATGTCTGTTATTTTAATATGCTATATACAATGCATTCAGAAAGTATTCAGACCCCCTTCACTTTTGTCAATTTTGTTATGCTGCAGCCTGATTCTACAGTTGTTGAAATTCATTTTTTCTCATTAATCTACACTCAGTACCCCATAATGACAAAGTGAAAACAGAATTTTAAAAATGTCTGTAAATTTATTAAAAAGAAAAAACTGAAATATCACATTGGCATAAGTATTCAGACCCTTCACTCAGTACTTCATTGAAGCACCTTTGGCAGCAATTACAGCCTCGAGTCCTTTTGGGTATGACCTGATAAGCTGTACACAACTGGATTGGGGGATTTTCTGCCTTTCTTCTTTGCAAGTCCTCTCAAGCTCAGTCAGGTTGGATCACGGCCATTGGTGAACAGTCATTTTCAGGTCCCTCCAGAGATGTTCAATAGGGTTTAAGTCAGGGCTCTGATATAGTTGTCCCTAAACCACTCCTGTGTTGTCTTGGCTGTGTGCTTAAGATCATTGTCATGATGAAAAGTCAATCTTCAGCCCAGTCTGAGGTCCTGAGAGTTGTGTAACAGGTTTTCATTGAGGATATCCCTGTACTTTGCTCCATTCAGCTTTCCTGCCAAACTTCTTCCATTTGAGAATTATGGAGGCCACTGTGCTCTTAGGAACCTTTAGTGCAGCAGAAATTTTGTTGTAGCCTTCCCCAGATCTGTGCCTTGAAATAATCCTGTCTATGAGCTCTGCAGGCAGTTCCTTTGACCTCATGCTACAGTATGCATTGTCAGCTGTTAGGCCTTCTATAGAGAAGTGTGTGCCTTTCCAAAGCATGTCGAATCAGTTTAATTTACCACAAGTTAACTCCAATCAAAGTATAGAAACATGTAGCAATGATCAAGAGAAATGGGAGACAACGCAGCTAAATTTCAAGTGTTGTTGGAAAGGGTCTGAATACTTATGCCAATGTGATATTTCAGTTTTTTCTTTTTAATAAATTTACAGACATTTCTAAAATTCTGTTTTCACTTTGTCATTATGGGGTACTGAGTGTAGATTAATGAGAAAAAATGAATTTCAACAACTGTAGAATCAGGCTGCAGTATAACAAAATTGACAAAAGTGAAGAGGGTCTGAATACTTTCTTAATGCACTGTACTTTCCCTAGGCATTGTATATAATGCCTAGGCATTATGCAGACAAGAACTATTTAGATAAAGTATGAAAAGAGAATCATGAAAAGGGTTACGGTTACAGTTAACAAACGTTGGCTAGCTCTTTATATTGAAAAGATGTAAATGAAAATGAAAGAAGAAATGCAAAATAAAGTACAGGACTTTCTTACTGAAAATAAACAAGAGAAAAAGACAAGTATTAAACTACATATTGCAACAAGGAAGGCTAGAATGGTATTTTTAGCAAGAGTACTTTATACTTTGCCAGTTTTTCTTTTGGCATTGCATAGGGTGCCTAGGAAATGTGTGAAATATTAAGCATTTCATACATTTAGGTCTCATTTTGGCATCTATAGATTTCCTAATTAGGCATCTATAGATGCCTAATTTTACAGACTGAAGGTAACATATATACCATTCGTTGTTTTTTTTAATAAAATTTTATTAATTTTTATAATTAAACAATAAGTAATATGATGCATTTATAACACAAACACACACAAAAAAACAATCCAACTCAATACATTATCGGAAACGCTCGGCAGTCCCCGCCCTGCCTCCGCCCTCATCCACTTACCTTTCCTTCCTACCTCTAGCCCACAGCCTCTCCTCTTTCCTCCTTCCCACTTCTACATCCCCACTCTTCCTGACCACCTCCTCGAGTGCAAGTCGGGGTACCAGCCGAGCATTTCCTCTTATCAATACAATTATTATTAACATATGAATACATCAATTTTGTTTTAATACCCCTAATCCCCTTCCCCCCCCTGAGCTTCCCGGAACCAAATACAGGACTAAAACAGATCATTCCAAATCTAAATTACAATTTAACTAAACAAATATAATACTATCAGTATATACCTACTTTAACTCTAATAAGGCAATTAAATTAATTAAAATTAATTAAAAAATAATATATCTACTCAAAAACTATATAACATTTAATCACTCCATACATCTAATATAATCTATCCACCTTCAACATTTAAACTTTACATAATTTTTTCTTACATTTTACACTTAAATTTTCCCTTCACTTTCTTCCCTCTCCAGTCTATACTTTCAATAAAATCTTAAGTCAATACCTCCTGCTTCACAGCTGGAAAAATAAAATAAAATCCCAATCTTAATTTTTTACCTCTTTTAGAAAAAAAAAAAGAACAAAAAGCTCTTTACAAACATATGATAAACTAATTTATTCCATTTCCATAATAAAGTCTCATTTCCAGCATTTATCCATCTTTTGGCTTACAAAGCTTGCTAAGCATTCCTTGCATGTCTGTGGCTGCAGCTCTCTTTGGCCTCGCCCCTCCCACTGGCTCCGAAGGCTGTGGATATGTTATAGAAACTGTTTCTTTTTGTTGCTCTCTCTCTTTACGCCTATAAGCAGCACGGGTCATCCTTTGCTCCTTTTGAGGAACTTCTACCGATAATGACATGGCCCCAGGCAATTCCACAACAAGTTGCTCCATCAGATCTTCTTGTGCTTTAGATGACGATGATGGTGACGTATCAGCTTTCAGGACCGACATATAAAAGTCTTTGGCTTTTTGAACAGAGTTTAATCTATGTCTGGTCCCTGCGAAATTTAATATAATACCCAAAGGAATTTCCCATCTGAAAGGTATCTGCCGCTTCTTTAACTCCTGAGTCAAAAATGTAAAATCCTTTCTTCTTCTTAAAATCTTAGAAGGTATTTCTTTTAAAAGTATAATATCTTGTGCGGCAATTTGAAATCNTTTTTCTATTTCTCCACAAATCACCTCTGGGTTGCAATTCAATACCAGGGCCAAAGCTGTCACAACTTCCTCTTTAAGTTTCTCTTGTGGGTCCTCTGCAAGACCCCTGATTCTCAGAGCAAATTCCAATTGTTTAAATTGCAACATTAACATATCATTTTGAAAAGTTTCCACTCCTTCCTCTACCTTTTCAAGTCTATCCTCCGTTCCCTCCATTTTCTCCATTAATTCATCCACTCGTCTACCCGATCAATATGAACTGCAAGTCCTTGAAAAATATGTGATAAATTTTCACAAAGTTCCTGATTTTTCTTATCCAAAAGTTCTTCTGTTTGTTTCAAAGTCTGCAATGAGGACTTGGCTAAAGCCTCTTGTAAATCTTTAAGTGTAATGGAAGGAGGAGGTGTTGGTGGGGGAGATCTAGGTTTTTGTTGTTGAGTTTGCACCACAGGAGAAGAAATAGCTGCTTTAGACAACGCAGGAACAGTACATTTTGAAGCCATTCTGCCAAATTACTTTTTTAAAAATCACAGCAAGTATAAACTTAAAAAGCTTGACTTTAAATAAATTAAAAAAAAATTAAAATCCTTTAAAGTACATCCACAACCGGAAAGAAAGTGAAAGTTTTCCTTTTGTTAAAAAAAAAGGAACGCTTCCGCGGCCATTTTCTTGTCACTTTCACTTATAGAAAGTAAAAAATCCCAATAAAGTCTTCGAGTTAAAGTCACTTTTTAACTAAAATAAAAATCCCCTGTCAGATTCCGTCTGTTTCAAAAGTTACTCATAAGCAGATACAATGTAACAGCAGTGGCGGCGACGTCTGGCTTTGCTCCGAGGAACGAAGACACACCGAGCTGCGGAGAAGAGGTCAGGACTCCGGGGGAGTTCTCACCTACATCCCCCCAGGATCGCTCCTGGGGAGACTAGGGAACTCAACCCCTATCCCGACCAAACTCACTTTCTCCCCTTCGCCCGGGGAGAAAGTTCCGAGCCGCGAAACAGCTGATCCACGCTGTTTTAACGGCTTTGACGCAGTCCCGGGCTGGAGGCTGAAGAAAAAGCCTCCTTCGGCGGCGCCTCGCCACAGGAAGCCGATACCATTCGTTTTACCATTGATAATTTGGAAGCATTATTTGATAATATGGACATGGTGCCAATTTGTACCTTAATTCATGCATTTTCTGATAACTACCTATTTGACCTTTTATTTCTTCTACCCTCTATCCTAGTTATACTCAGTACCTTTGATGCATTGCTTTCTCTGGATAATGTGAGAATACTGAGCAGTCCCAATACCTTAATTCCCAGAAATCTGAAAGCTTACATCGACTACTGTTCCATTTGCCATTCCTTGGCCCAGAAAACTCCTTCTACTTACAAGATTTGTTTTGCTTCTTATATAAAAGATAAAAAAAATCTCATTAATACAGCAATATTTTATTCAGTCTGACTGAATATCCTTGACTTTGGAACAAGATACAAATTGACTAGATAAGAAATAAATTATATTTTTAAAATTAATAAACTACTGAAAGGCAGTTTGGAAATCATTTCTTACTCATTTGCAATGAATTTATTAAGAAAAATATTTCTAGACAGAACTGTATGTACAATGAACACATATTTAATATTTTAAAGAGCAATTAAAGTATAAATTATATATATATGTTCAAAGCAATCTTTTATGTTTTTTCACTCTCACTCTATATTTTATTAAGTTGGATTTTATATAGGAACTGACATATTTATGTAAGGACTTGCCTCAACCAGATCTCCCAAGAAAGCAGAACTCTTGAAACAGGCATTGTCTCAAAAGGAACTTTTTATTGAGAGTTAGTGATGGCAAGTGAGCAAAGCAAGGTCTGAGATTTGGCGTGCAAAGGATTACATCAAAAAGGCAATTTACAACTACTCTCCCCAGTGTCCAACCGTCTATTGAAATCCAGCCAATCCACAGGTGCCACCGTGTTATGAGAAGCTGGAGTTTCAGTGGGCTTCTCAAGGTCTTTCTTGGTTTTGTTTCCCAACGATCCAGGCTCCACTGTCTGGAGATAAGGCAGATGTTTTCAGGTCGCATTCCTCTCGCCCAGAGGGAGGGCATCTCATACAGAGCAGAGCAAAGCAAACAACAATTCCCCTGCAAGCACCCTTCCCCCAGTAGTATAGCAAGCCCCGAAAATAAATAGGCAAAAGCAAGAAAGGGAAAAAAGAGAAGGGTTAAAGGCAATTATAATTGAGGGGCTCTGACAATTTAATATGTTACTTCTGATTTGTAAAATGCCTCTCAAATGACATAAACTCAGCACCATAAATGAAATTTTATCTTGAATTTGTTTCATGTAACGTAAGTCAAGTTTCCTTTATAGTTTATATGGCACTTGCCAATGGTTGGAATCACAATTTGGGCTTTCTATGCTCCAGTAGACAACAGAACACAGGGGACTTCTCAGCAACCAAGCTTCTTACCTTCTTAAAGAATATAGCAGGTGCCATTTCAGCTCCATTTAGGGTTCTTAGGAGGAACATTGGCCAAGACGATGCATTCATCTGGAACCCTAATGTGACAATAAATACATAATGGATATGATTTAAGACAAAAAGCAAAGTGGAGATGGGATGGAAGCAAAGCACGGTTGACCCATCACCAGTGCAAAGCACTCCAAATACAATCTATAACATTATATCCATTCTTTTTCCTCTTGATTTATGACTATTTCATTGTTTGCTATTTCCAAAAATGATCCCTGTAAATCAAACTGTTGAATTATGTTTCCTTACCCAAAGGAGGCTGAAGCATTCCTCCTTTCTTTTCACACGTTCCAATTTGCTGTATATCAGAGGAATCCACTAGCCTCCAGAAATCATTTTTGTTATCACTTCCATCAAGACGCAGCCTTAATCTAGTACCTGAGATTCCAATAACTGTAGCTATACACACAGAGGTAACATTCCGGGGGTCATGAGCTTCCAACTTCATACCCACTTTGAAATCATTGCTAGGGGGAATCTTAGACTACAAAAGGAAAGATAACAAAAGGTTTGCAGTATAGTTTAACAATCTGTTGGCTTAGTTTTTTAAATAGTAACATATATAGAGAGTGCAGTATGTGGAATTTAATGAGCATTTTTCCACATGCACCAGTTTGATATTATACAAATGCATCATTTTACATTTCAATAACAAATCAACACATGCAATCTAAATTTCATGATATTCTTCTCTGTGCAACAAGCATTTAATAGTACTTTGTGTTTTGATTAGAGACATCAAAAATGGTGATTGTTATTTTCAACCACATGAAGAAGCTATAAGTCCAACAATAATGCTTCTTATATTAATAATTCTTATTAACATGAATACACCATGTACCACATTAAGTGCATACTACATTAAATGCTACACTTATAAGTAAAGCAGTTCAACAGTTAACAAACACATTAATTTTAGGAGTGGCTCTTAATATTTTAAATTATCACCTGTCTGAAATACTGTGAAGGAGCAGCTACAGACCCAGTTTCTTTCAAGTAGTTGTCCCACTTAAAATATTCTATGAAAAAATGGAAATATTTAAACTTTAAAACAGCAATATAAATACTACATAAATATACTTCAGGCTATAGGAATGTAAATAAAATCTTAAGGAATTTACAAAAATATAAGAATATTTTTCCCAAACATGTTAAAAATAATTATAACAATTGTGAAAAATGCATTTTTAAATTATCTTTTTAACCTGGACTGAATTTAATTGCTATATTGTAGCACATAAATTATCAAATTAATTAATTGGAATTACTTGAATGTTAGTGTAGTCAGCTTTTTCCCATAAGATTCCATCTCAAAGAAACAATACACTGAATGTGGCCTTGTAAATGTAGAAAAGTGCTAAAAGAGAGAATTCGGATTAAAGCATGCAAGACAGATGGTTGCCAAGCCTTTCCCCTTAATATCTATATCCAGCTAAGGCAGGGTAGGCAACCCAAAACACTCACAGAGCCACTTGGACCCATTTCCCACCAAAAACAAAACACTCGAAGCTGCAAAACCCTTTTGATATCTAAAATGAAGATAACACTGCATATATCCTTTTTTACCTTTATGTATGTATGTATGTATGTATGTATATGTATATATCATAAAGGTAAAAAGGATATATGCAGTGTTATCTTCATTTTAGATGTCAAAAGGGTCTCTCTCTCTCTGTCTCTCTCCCTCCCTCCCTCTCTCTCTCTCCCTCCCTCTCTCTTTCTGCCCTTGGTCTGCCAGTCCTCTTCTCTCTCTCTCTCTCTCTCTCTCTCTCTCTCTCTCTCTCTCTCTCTCTCTCTCTTTTTTTTTCTCCCTCTCTCTGATCTTCTGCTCACCTGGCAAGCTGGCTTCAAGCTCAGGGGTAGGCAACCTCGGCTCTTTTATGACTCATGGACTTCAACTCCCAGAATTCCTGAGTCAGCATAGCTGGGCTAGCTAGCTCTCTCCTGCCCTTCCTGCTTCCCGCAGAGACGCAGCAAACGGAGGAGCCCCGCCCAAAAAGCTTTTCAGCTTGTCGGAAAACACCGTGAGTCCACTCTCTTTTACACACACAGACAAACACAGAGAGAGACAGAGACAGAGAGAGAAGCAGGGAAGTGCAAGTGCCTCTCTCTGTCTCTGTCTCTCTCTGCAAATGGCAGAGGAGGCTGGAAGCCACAGGGGAAGGCTCAAAGAGCTGCATGCGGCTCTGGAGCCGCAGGTTGCCAACCTGTGAGCTAAGGTGAACTCACCATCACCCTGATAACTTGTTCCACTATCACTACTCTTACTGTTTGGAAGGTTTCCAAATATTCAACTGCAGTACAAACTGTCTGTAATGGTTATTCTTTGTCCTGAAGTAAAGGATATTCAAGTATTTGAGGAGTGCTTGTATATTCCCTGTCTTCTCTTCTAAACACTAAACCTTTCAAAACGCTTTAATCTGTTCTCAAAAGACTTAATTTTTTTAGTTCAATGATCATCCTCACTGCCATTCACTGAACACTTCTTAAAATATGATGCCTAGAATTGGACATACAGTAATCAAGATGTAGTCTGACCAAAGCAGCATGTAGTGGAATTAGTACTTTCTGATTATTTGGAAATTGTACAGGTAATCCTCACTTTACGACCAGTTGCTTAGCAACAGTTTGAAGTTACAATGGACCTCCTCAGGACTACTTATGACCCAGATTTGAAGTTCTGTTGGCTCCCCTTCTCCCTCATGGTCCCATGATTGCATTCTGGGCACTCAACAATAGGCCCACATTTACAGATGTTTGCAGTCATGTGAAACTGGTGTTTCCTTCTGGTTCCAGAAAAAAATGCCCACTGTAGATAGTGTATTCTCTTAATTACTGCCACATTCACTTAACAACCAATACTTGTGAAATTGGGTAGTCACATGGTGACCCACTTAACAACTAGGATAACGTACAACCATAATTCCAGGCTCAATGATAGTTGTAAGTTGAGAACTACCTATACATGAATAGATCTACTCTAAATTTACATTTGTCTTTTTAGCATTTATTATTTAATATATGATGTTTTAATACTTCATGTATTGGAGGAATATTTATACGGAAATAAAAAGAAACACTGTTTATACAGCAATGAGTTAATCTAGGGCATCAGCTCAGATATTATAAAGTAATAAAATGTGGAGGTGAGAGCATTCTGCAGAAAAAGACAAATTTACAAGATTTATCTAGATCAGCGGTTCTCAACCTGTGGGCCACGACCCTTTTGGGGGTCGAACGACCCTTTCACAGGGGTTGCCTAAGACCATCGGAAAACACATATTTCCGATGGTCTTAGGAACCGAGACACTGCCAAAGCTGCCGCCGTCGCCTCAGGAACGCGCAGTGGACGAGCCAAGGAAAAGAACTGAATGAGGAGAGGGGGCGTGTCCGTCTGCGTGTTTGTGTGTGCGTTTGTGTAGAGTCGTTATTTTCAACTCCCAATATTACGAAGAAAAAAAAAGGTTGACGTGAATAAAATGTGGAAGACAAGCGCTGTGTGTGTGTGTGTGCGCGCGGGGTGTTAATCGTATTCTTTCCCTCGTCACGCGCCTTGAGCTGCGACACCAATAACCGTCTGCTCTCAGTTCGTGACGAACGGGGCTCTTCTCTCTTTTTCCATCCCATATTTACATTATGATTCATAACAGTAGCAAAATTACAGTTATGAAGTAGCAACAAAAATAATTTTATGGTTGGGGGTCACCACATGAGGAACTGTATTAAAGGGTCGCGGCATTAGGAAGGTTGAGAACCACTGATCTAGATGAAGATTTATTCAACACAGTTATACCTCACAAACCAATTTACAATTCAATAAAGGTATTGGAAGCAACTATCTATATTAATTCAAGAACAAGGTTGCTATGGCTATTAAAACATGTTTAAACAATCAAACAATAAAGGACCCATATAAAATATTTGTGGATTTCCTTCACACATCTTGCATCTCAACTCATTTAATCTTTAGTTCTAAAGCAAGCGGAGACTAATCCATATTCTCTATCACAGGGATTTGATAAGTGCCTTACAATATGCTACCTATATAGAATCAATATAGATGAAAGTGTATATATAACTCAGGATTGAACTGTGGAATACACTTATGATGTTATCTAGTCAGGTTATTGCCAAAATAACCAAGATATCCAGAAGATTGCACTCCAACTGTCCACTGTTTGTTAAGATCACTCAACTGAGACAGATTCTTCAGATGAAATGGAACTACAGCAAAATAATCTAGAATTTTGGAGAGTCACTGAAGCAGAAAGCTGATTGGAACATTTGAACAGAATAATTCTAATGCTACTTGAGGACACCACCTCAAGAAAGGCTGCCCTAAATCCACCAAAACCTGGCAATAATCTGCGTGAGATTTAAGGTAGCTTTTTTTCAGTTCAGTAAGCACAAGGCATTTTTACTCTGTAGACATGCATATATCACTACCAATGGCTTCTGAATTTTTTTTAACAAATATGAAAAACCACAATCCAAAATGGCATATAGTTCATGAAAGGCTTTGAGCAGCAAAGAAGGTGATAGAATGTGAAATATATTCAGACTTCAAATTCTTGGCCAATAAATCTTCATGCAACAGATTAGAGCCAAATTATTGCAAATGTCTGCAGTCTGCACTGGTGATAACCATAAAACTGTTCTGTTTCCCAGCTGCAAGCAATTGCAATATATACAGATGGCAGTATAGACCATCTGTCGAGCCAATCATATATTCTAAGTAAAAGCTACAGCATGAGAATAAATAATATGCTATATTTTTTTCAAGATACTGACACTTCTCAGTGAATTTAATCCTTACAGGGACTTGCTTTATTCCTTTGCACCTACTCTTTTTTATTATTTTTCTTTTTTCCCCCCACTTGACTTTTATTATTTTATCAATATATATAAAATACAAAGAAAAACAAAAATAGGAAATTAAGAGAAGAAAAAAGAGAGGGGGAAAGAAAATATGAGGTACAAGGGAAGAAAGAAAAAAAGCACTGACTTCCGACTGTTTTTAGCATGGTACAAGATAAGAACATTCCAGCCTCCACTTTTTACATTTACACTTTATTATGTAATGAAGGGTTCTGTAACTGAAACAAAAAGAAATTATTTAGCCTAACTATTGCTATCTCATTTTTGTAATCAGCATTTGCGTCAGAGACAAATTTCATGCAAGTGTGGGAAAATGTACATGGATGGGATGTACTGAAGGAGGGAATAAGGGAGTGTACAGGAATGATTGATGTCTTCCTTATGATGTAATGGCTCTGATGTCTGATTTTCATTGGCTAACAAAGATTATAAAGCAATGCTACTAACTTTCTGAGGTGTGGCACTTCTGGATGTAACTCTGCCACCATTCCAGATTGTTTGCCACCCAGCTGTTTTATTTGATCAATTAAAGCACTGTTTCCTCAAGAAGCCTCCGTTTGAGTTGCCTGATTAGACTTTTAATGGTATCTCAAATTTAAGTAAGGGCCAGGGACCTTACATTTCTGGCGTCCGAACAGGGACATGGAAGGTGGAATTTGGTAGGTAGAAACAATTATTCTGGAATGAGGAGGAGGTTGGGGGAGTGTGTGTGTGTGTGTGAAATGCCTGAAAGGCAGGTTAGTTGCCTGCAATGTGATAGAGATGAATGACTGTTAAGTAAACCACCTGTAAGGGACCCCCGCATAAGAGAGAGCATGGCCAGCCCCTATATCGAAGAAAAGATATCGAGAAATCTCTAGAGAGTCATTCATTTGCACTGAGCAAATGAACTGGTGTTTAAGGGAAGAGGAGGGGCCATGTTTCCAATAGGCTATGTGTTAGCCCATTGGAAAGCACTGAAATTGTGGCAGTGAAAACAATCTTCAAGAAAGCAATGTTGCAAAATTTTGTACACCTCCATTTGGCTAGCTTATTTTTTTAACAACTTCAGCCACGGAAGAAAAGAAAAGAAAAATTCAAAGAAGAACTGAATGCAAGTTTTTTTCTCTCTCTCTAATCTGGCTCTTTGGATGTACATTCA